TGCTCTGGATCTTGATTCAGCACTCCTGTATGACAAGCCCGCTGCTATTACTGATTCTAGCAATGCTGATGAAAGATTTTTTCATGATGTTTGGGAAAAATCAAATAGACTTAGCCTAATGTTCATGCAGATGACGATAGCAAACAACATTAAGTCCACAATTCCTAAGACTGATAAAGCAAATGAATTTATGAAATTTGTGGAAGATCTCTAACAATCTGACTCTGCTGATAAGTCAATAGCAGAGACATTAATGGGTACGTTGACCACCATGAAGTTTGATGGTTCTCGCACCGTGCATAAGCATGTCACTGAAATGACAAACACAACAACAAGATTGAGATCTATGGGAATGGAAGTGAGTGAAAGTTTTCTTGTGCAGTTTATCATAAACTCCTTGCCTTCTGAGTATGGTCCATTCCAAATAAACTACAATACTACAAAAGATAAGTGGAATGTGACTGAATTGTAAAGTATGCTTATTCAAGAGGAAACAAGGCTTAAGAAACAAGGAACTCACTCAATTAATCTCATGGGTCATCAAGGAGCTGGAAAGAAACCAGTAAAGTATAATAGAAAGGGCAAGAAAAGAGCACTGAAAGATAATGTGTCGCCTGTCCAAATCCACAAGAAGAAACGAAAGAACGATAAGTGTTATTTCTGCAAAAAGCCTGGATACTATCAGAAAGATTGCCTGAAACGTAAGGCATGGTTCGAAAAGAAAGGTAAACCTCTTGTTTTTGTATGTTTCGAATCAAACCTAACAAAAGTTCCTTATAATACTTGGTGGATTGACTCTGGTTCTACCACTCATGTTTCAAATACGATGCAGGGATTGCTTACGACCCAAACCATAAATCGAAATGAAAATTCCATCTTCATAGGAAATCGAGTCAAAGCTCCAGTTAAGACCATTGGAACCTACCGCTTGTTTTTAGACACTGGACATCATTTAGATCTTTTTCAAACCCTTTATGGTCCAACTGTTTCTCGCAACTTAGTTTCTTTGTCTAAACTTGATGTCGCTGGATACTCTTTTAAATTTGGAAATGAATGTTTCAGTTTGTTTAAGCATAGTCATCTTATTGGTTCTCGTATTCTCTCTGATGGTTTATACAAATTAAAGCTTGATAATCGTTTTGCTGAAACTCTGTTAACCTTGCATCATAATGTTAGAACTAAACGAAGTTTAGTGGATGAAAGTTCAGCTTATTTGTGGCATAAACGTTTGGGATATATTTCCAAAGAAAGAATACAAAGATTGGTAAAGAATAAAATCCTTCCTAATTTGGATTTTACCGATCTTGGTATTTATGTGGATTGTATTAAAGGAAAACATACAAATCATACAATTAAGAAAGCCGCCACATGAAGCACACAACTCCTTGAAATAATACACACTGATATATGTGGACCTTTTGATGCTCCATCCTTTAATAAAGAAAAATATTTTATCATATTTATTGATGATTTTTCACGTTATGAATATGTCTATTTGTTACATGAAAAATCTCAATCAGTAGATGCCCTAGAGGTATTTATTAATGAGGTTGAAAGACGTCTATTTGTTACATGAAAAATCTCAATCAGTAGATGCCCTAGAGGTATTTATTAATGAGGTTGAAAGACAATTAGACAAAAAGTAGATGCCCTAGAGGTATTTATTAATGAGGTTGAAAGACAATTAGACAAAAAGGTGAAAATTATTAGATCTGATAGGGGTGATGAATTTTATGGAAAATATAACGAAACAGGACAATGCCCTGGTCCATTTGTTAAATTTCTTGAAAAACGTAGCATATGCGCTCAGTACACTATGCCAGGTACACCGTAACAAAATGATGTTGCAGAAAGGCGTAATCGTACACTAATGGATATGGTTAGGAGTATGTTGAGTTATTCTTCTTTACCCTTATCATTGTGGATGCATGCTTTAAAAACCGTAATGTATTTATTAAACAGGGTTCCTAGTAAGGCAGTTCCAAATACTCCTTTCGAACTGTGAATGGGAAGGAAATCCAGTTTGAGACACCTTCATGTTTGGGGTTGTCCTCCGGAAATACGAATTTATAATCCACATGAAAAAAAACTGAACTCAAGAACAATCAGTGGTTTCTTCATTGGTTATCCAGAAAAATCTAAAGGGTATAGATTTTATTGTCCTAGTCATAGTATGAAAATTGTTAAAACTAAAAATTACCGGTTCATTAAGAATGGTGATATTTGTGGGAGTATGGAACCACGTAAAGTGGAAATCCAAAAAGTTAAAATGAATGTTCCTTTGCCTCTAATTTCTTCTCAAATTGTTGTTCCTACAGTTATTGAACAGTTTAACGACTTTCAAGAATAACAAATAAATGATCAAACACTCCATGAAGACGTTGTTACTAATGAACCTGCAATAGATATACCCCATGAAGAAGTAGCATTAAGAAGGTCTCAAAGATAGAAAAAATCTGCTATTTCTGATGATTATGTGGTTTATCTACAAGAGTGAGAACATGACTTTGGAATTGATGAAGATCCGATTTTATTTTCACAGGCCATGAAAAGTCACAATTCTGATAAATGGTTTGATGCCATGAAAGATGAGTTGAAATCAATGTAGCATAATGAAGCTTGAGATCTTGTAGTATTGCCTAAAGGTTGTAAAAGAGTTGGGTGTAAATGGGTCTTTAAGACCAAACACGACTCAAATGGCAATATCAAACGATACAAGGCTAGACTCGTTGCCAAAGGTTTTACTCAGAAGGATGATATTGACTATAAAGAAATATTTGCTCCTGTTTCGAAAAAGGATTCATTTAGAATTGTTATGGCTATGGTGGCTCATTATGACTTAGAGCTACATCAAATGGATGTGAAAACCGTTTTTCTAAATGGAAATTTAGATAAAGAAGTTTACATGGACCAACCCGAGGGTTTTTCAGTTGAAGAAAAGGAACATATGGTGTGTAAGCTTAAGCGGTTAATATACGGACTCAAACAAGCTTCCCGACAATGGTATCTTAAGTTTAATGATACTATCACATCTTTTCTTCCCGACAATGGTATCTTAAGTTTAATGATACTATCACATCTTTTGGATTTAAAGAAAACATCGTTGATCGATGTATATATCTAAAGATTAGTGGGAGCAAGTTTATATTTCTGATTCTGAATGTTAATGATATCTTGCTTGCTGCTAATGATCTTGGCTTGTTACACGAGACCAAGAAATTTCTCTCTAAAAACTTCGAAATGAAAGATATGGGTGAGGCATCTTATGTGATTGGAATTAAAATATTCCGTGACAGATCACAAGGATTGTTAGGGTTGTCTCAGAAATCATATATTAATAAAGTTCTAGACAGATTCAAGATAAAAAAAATGCTCTGCATCTATTGTTCCAATTCAGAAAGGAGATAAATTTAGTCTCATGCAATGTCCAAAAAATGAATTGGAACACAAACAAATGGAGCAAATTCCTTATGCATGCTCAGGTTTGTACAAGACCCGACATTAGTTTTGTTATTGGAATGCTGGGTAGATATCAAAGTAATCCAGGATTGGATCATTGGAAAGCTGCAAAGAAGATATTGAGATACTTGTAAGGAACAAATGATCATATGCTCACTTATAGGAGATCTGATCACCTTAAGGTGATTGGATATTCCGATTCAGATTTTGTTGGGTGTTCGGATACTAGAAAATCCACATTTGGCTATTTGTTCCTTTTAGCTGGAGGAGCGATCTCATGAAAAAGTGCGAAGCAGTCTGTCATTACTGGATCGACTATGAAGGCTGAGTTCGTGGCATGCTTTGAGGCCACTGTTCATGGATTATGACTGCGGAATTTCATTTCAGGACTTGGAATTATTGACAGTATTGTCAAGCCGTTGAAAATTCATTGTGATAATGCTGCAACAGTCTTCTTTTCTAAAAACGACAAGTATTCGAAAGGTGCTAAACATATGGAATTAAAATACTTTGCATTAAAGAAGAAGTTCAGAAACAAAGAGTGTCAATTGAACATATTAGCACAAATCTCATGGTTGCGGATCCGTTAACAAAAGGATTGCCACCAAAGATATTTACTGTACATGTCGAAAGAATGAGCATTATTAAAAATTATCATTGACTTTTATGTAAGGTTTATGTTCTTTATATATTTGACACTTTGAGCTCATCTAAACAGTGTTTCTGATAGATTAATGCATCATGTTTATTATTGTCAGTATATACATGAATGATTATGTGAATATTAACAGGATACGTCTCTAACAAGGACATTATTGTTGGACCATTATGATAAATCTCATTACAGATCATGTTTAGTTTAAAACTAATATTGTGATACATGGAAGGGACTATGTCGATTTAACTACGTGCAACCGCCATGATCCTTATTAGTTTTATACTTAATGATGATTGATGTTTTGATCAATATGATGATGAAATTAGCTTACACTATGCATATTATATTGTATTATTAAATCATGATGTTAAATTATGAAACATGTGCCAAGTGGGAGAATGTTAGATTTTAGTGGCCCACATTTTGTTTTAACCAACTTTAGTGGTCAAGTTATTTTTTCTCACGTTTTTAATTAGTTTAAGAAACTGGTCATGTTTTATTTAGTTATATAACTACTCACGTTTTTATGCCAAATTCCTATTGATCAATTAAGATAACTACTTACGTTGATGGAGTGTGAGTGATTATTCTATTTAAAGGCTTGGTCCTCTCGCTACCTAGTATGTGAAAATTTTCTCTCCATCAAGAAAATTTCGGAAAAGCTCAAGAGGGTTAAGGGAGAGAAACTCAAGTCTTCAAGGTTGTTCATCTTGCAATCAATTTCTCCTCAAGCTTTAAATTATGGATCAAGGTACGTTTTTTTTCCTTAATTAATTGTTCATAGTGAAAATTATTTGTTCTAACATCTTGGTATAATGATAATCAAATCAAAATCGAAGTTTAGATTGATTTGCCTAAATATAAATTAAGGTTACAGATTTACCTGAGCACAAAAGGAGTGGATAGCTTGTCAGGCACAGGATATCCAAACAAAGCTGATGCTTTTGCCATCTTAAGCAGCACTCTTCTTACAATTTCACCTAGGTACATTCCAGAGATTGTTTTCTCAAATATCTGAATTCCAGGAAAATTGAATGGATACCGAATCATTCGGTTTGAATCCAAGTCAGAATAAGACCAATGAGAATAATTAAAAAAAAGAGGGTTCTGCAAACATGAAAGAAGCAGCTATTAGCACAAATAGGTATTACCTGCTCTCCAGGATTAATGCTTTCAGAATCCATATCTCTATCAAAAACAGTCAAAGGAAGACCAGTTGAGAATGCCCCCCATTCAGTGTTGATAATCTGAGATGTGAACAAGGATTAAGTCAAGCTCACGATAGGATCGTACTTCTAGATCTCTATCTGAAGATGAAGAAACATTTCTTCACAGTCACTTATTAACTTTCATGATGAGGATTTTATCCTGCATAGAGCGACAAAACTTTAAAATTGACCAAAAGCTTGTGAGAGAAAAAAAAATCTTGGCTAACTTTTCAAATTTTGAAAAAAATGTCATATTGATCTCTTGGAATCTTCATCACTAATGCCACCACCACTGACAGCAGAACTGTCTTTCAGACTTTTTTTTTTACCCAAACAAGCTTAGTCATGGAACATTACTCAACATTGAGAAAGATAAGGAAGAATTGATGAAATTTTCCAGCTAAAAATCTGAGATTAAACTTTTTTTCTTTAGATGGTGCCAAATTTCTGGTGAAGAAACTGCAAATAGAGGGGTTTTACACAAAACCTACTAGGCTAGTTGGAATTAAAGAAAATTAACCTTGTTGGTTGTGCTTGTTAAACTTTGGCAACAAAGAAACAAGTTTTACACTAGTCTCGAAGAAGAGCGAGGGTGATAAAGTTCATTAAGAAAATTGTTCAGACCTCTTAGGCATAGTGCAAGCCCATGAACCAAACTACACTCACTTTGTAGATCTCAAACAACATCCACTTTCTACCATTTATTCCTGAAAATTTTAACACAAATTTTTTTACAAACCGTTTTTCCTGACCCATCGGCAAGTTTCCCCATTTTAGCAATGGCATCCATCCTCTCAATATAGCATGCATTGGTACCAGTACCCAGAATTACCGCAACCACCACATCTTCATCCCAGTAGTGAGCTCCAGCTAGTGTTCCAACTGCATCATTCACCTGACCAGAAGAAGAAGAAAGTAAGATATCAGTTGACCCTATAAAACATGAATCAATGAACGTCTCTAAGATAGACCTTATAAGACATCAAATTCTTATGAAACCCAAGCATGCTATTGGTAAACATACCAAGGCTGATACCCGCATATCTAAACCCTGTCTTTTCATTGCTTCTTTTAAGCATTCAACGACGTCCTTTCCTGCCTGTTCAACAGCAGTTACTGGTCAGCTTTAATAATTGAATGCAATGGGAGTAAATTCTAAATAGGAAAAATCAGGCATGGACTATCCACTTTCAAGCTTTAGTTATAAATGACATGATGAATAACAGAGTTCTTTTTAGCGAGACTGGCTAGAAAACCCCTCTCAGATAGTTAATAACATTAATCTTCGATCTGGCACCAGTTGATGAAGTAGTAGGAGTGTACAATGTCCAATAGAAGCTAAAGAAAAGTTATATAAATAATCTCAAGCTGTGGAGAGCTCAACGTTCAATTTTAAATAATAATTTAGGACTGAAGTTGGGATGATCTAAATTCCAAAAAAAAAGACAGGCTAGAATCTGTGTGCAAAGTTTGTATCTCCAGTTTTGTACAGCATAAGGCTGCAGAAGATATATATAGAAATATGCTTCAAAATTCAATCGCACTAAGACACTTTCTCTAACGGTATTATAGTTATTTCTGAACCATTCAACCATTCAACACATCAGGCATGGTTCGGCAATGATCAATTTATCATTCTTGCTCCAAAGTTTTAACAACAAGAAAACGAGATAATGATCAGTTTATTATTCTTGGTCCTATGTTTTAACAATGAGAAAACTTTATCTTGTTTTCTTATATTTTTAACCAGAAGATTATAGCTTTGAGGGGCCTTAAGCAGGAAAGTCTCTTTCTCATTTCAAATTCTAGGAATACACTAATGTTTTAGCAGGTCAGAAGTAGAGTTGTTTTACCTTCTATATACCATAATAATCATCTCTATTATCATTTTTTAAGATCCACAGTTGACAGAAAGGCACATGAGTTGGAACCATCTTCTTTAGACAGAGGTAAAATATGGAAGTATATTATAACATTATTTTGTCTTTATACGCAGGACATTTTAGTGATATTTACATGCACATCTCTGATACATTTCAATGGAGAAATTTGATACCAGATCTTGTCGCTGAGGTTCAATATCAGAGCATTATGCGTAAAGAATCAGAAAATGAAGCTAAATGACGTGCAGATTAGAAGTAAACAGAGTTCAAACTAATGAAATCTCATCCTATGGTGGGATCACAATAATACTCAGAAAAACTGTAATGCCAAAGTATACCCAAACTCAGAGGAAAGAGAAATTCTAACAAACAGCATATTTTTAGTCTGATAAGTAATAAGAGTGCAAAAACATGTTCTTATTGTCCCCAGTTGTAGATTTGTAGTTAAGAGCAGAACAAAGGGAAACTCACTTCCTCAAAAAAATAAATCAAAGAAACTCACTGTCCCAGAGACAGCAAAACCCTTTGTCCACTTGATAAAAATGCCTGAGTCAATTGAAGTCTGCCTCACAGGAAAAGAAAATGTAAAACCAATCTCTCCTTTCCTCCCTTGAGGCCAGCGAAACCTCGCACTCTCCTTCGCTGCAAACCTTGCTAACTCAGAAGCAATAAAATCAAACAACTCCTGCGTTCAGATATGCACAATTACAAACAAATGATACCACAGGATCTTGCATGCGTAGGAGGGAACATTCAGTGTGATGATGAAATAAAAAAAGCCAACCTCCGTAGTACTATGCATGAGCTCCTGAGGAATTGCAACTTGCTCGAATTCAGTATCGACCACTCGGCTCTCCTTTCCTCCCAATTGCACCCTCAGCACCCGGAAATTTGTTCCACCAAGATCCAACGCGTAAAACAGACCCTTTTCATCCCTACGGAAAATAACTTCATCACTCAAAGAAACTACACGACCGAATACGCACGAAGTCCTAAAAGTTCCCAGTCCGATATGCCGCTAGTTTCTGCACTAGATAATGAAGTCCTTTCCTTGTTGACGTTGCACTAGAGATAATATTTTTACAATTCATTCTTATTACCCAAGCAACCATATTCGATAAAACCCCCATTAAACCAAATTCTTCAAAAAAATTTAAATGTCTTACTAAAAAGATTTCAGCTTTTCTACTTAACCTACCACATAATTCCCAAGTCCTGCTTTTGATCATATTATCGACAACTTTACCGTAAATCAAGAAAGAATTCTCAAGCAAGCTATACATACACTGAACACTATATTTCGGTCACCAAATATATTAAAGTTCGATAATCTAAGCAAAATTCAACGAGAAGAAGAAACAAATCTCACCCAGTGGGAAGAGAATCGACGTAACTCAGGATCATCTTGAGATCACTCCCGCCATCAGCGACCAGCCCCGCCCTCATATCCGCCTACATCACGTCCGCCACTTGGCGCGGCACCGGCACGTGGATAGAATCAAAATCAAATTTAGCATAAAAATCAAAATCAGAAACAGGAAACTCTCCTATGAAGAGATTTTAACAGGCCTACGCCTTTTTATCTGATCAACGAATATAGCAATAATTCAGACAATGCAGATGGATAGAATCAAATCGAATTTATCATAAACCCATAAATCACATACTAATCACCACCTCCAACGGCGACGGCCTAATAACAAATCGGACCAATACATCCAGCAACCAACATCAAGCAATACAGACATACAAATGGAATTCAATCTCAAGAACGATCGCCTATTCTCGATCGATAACCTCCTCGTCCTTCTGATCCTTCCCCTTCTGACCCTCCCCCTTCTTCTCACCGCTCTCCATCTCCTCCAGCTCCTTGAGCCACAAGTCCGCAAACTCGCAGTCCCTGTACCTGTCGAACCACGGCCCGCCCATCGTGTAATGGATGGCCTTCGGGTAGCCCTCCTCGACCCTGTTGTGGCCGACGAGGAAGTTCCAGACGGAG